GTGGGTGGGTGGGTGGGTGGGTCGGTGGTATTCTTCACGTGCTCAACATGTTTCCTTCTGCGGGCATCTCGCTAACGACCACTTGCCCGTGGTTCACAAGCTGTTCCACCCAAGACCCCACGCAGAGACAAACCAAGACAAGCATCAAAACCCATTGGCGACCAACCCCAGGCAAAACCTCGGCATTCCTGTCAAATCAAAACACTCTGCAGGAAAATGTTTTGGATCTTATACCAGCATCTTTAACTGCTTCGAAAAACGCATCTCTCGCCTTCCACCGATGTAGACCTCGAACGCCTGCGGCTAAAATGCTCAAAAACCCATCGAAATGGAGACCCATTTCCCACCCATACCAAGGCCGTCGCCAAGGCCCCGCTTGATCTGAACCGAGGCTGTTTCCTTTCGTTTTCGAGGAGTGTTTTTTGAGGCCAGGTCTCCTTGGAACTACTAATGATGTTTTGGTATTGTGTGCTGAACATATAGTACAGCATAACATAGTATAACATAACAAAATGATAGACATATATATAGCGTAATACACTTTAACATAATACAGTATCATATTAAAAAAAACACTGCAATATAATGTAATAGCATATAAAATAACACAATAGAACATTATATAATGCAGCTTTGTATAATAAAGTATAGTATAATATGACAAAATATAATCTAATACACTATGACATAATATAGTATAATATAATGTAATATAACACAAAATGAGTAATACGATATAATATAATATGCTATAATCTATTATAATATAACATTGTGTAGTTTGATATCTAGTATAAAATAATATCACATGACATAACATCACAAATATACAAGTAAACTAAAGTTTCATCTAATATTATATAACACAATATAATGTAATATAAAATAAAATATCATTTTTTATAATATACTTCTTTACTAGTTTGTGTTATATTATACAATATAGTATAGTAATATGATGTAATACAATATATCAAAACATAACATGATAAACTATAATGTAACATGATATAGCATAATGAAACAAAATGCGACATAACATAACATAACATAACATAACATAACATAACATAACATAACATAACATAACATAACACAATATATCAGATTGTATAAGATAATATGATATACTGTAGTATCTGACTGGCAGCCGCCAGCATCTGGCTGGCATCAGCATCCTACTGATAGTTTTGCTTGTGTACTTCCATTAGCGTTGCTCGACTACCAGATCGAGTACGAATTCTGGCCGCACCAGCATTGAGCAATGCGTGTGGCTGCTTGTCCAAACTGCAAGCATATTATATTATGTTGTGTTGTATTATATTATATAAAACTTCAGTTTTCTTAAATACTTGTGATGTCATGTCACGTGAGACGAAAGCCCTGGCGGCCTGGCTGGTTCCGGGATTTCCCCTGCCATGGCACAAGGACTTCCCCCAGCGACAGCGTAACCCACTCAGGTAGCGAGGCATGTCGAAACTCGGAGCACTCAATCTCTGAACTCGCAGCTGCCAACCTCCTAGTTTGCGGCTTAGCCCTCTCAACCCCTAACTCCCTCAATACCCTCAAGAATCGCTCAATGGATTCAGTCCGTGAGAATAGATGTGCCTTCCACTCCGTTCCGCTAGCTGCTGTGCCGTTGCTTTTGAGCGGAATTGCAAGACGGAAACATGGATCTGGAGATCCAAAACTTTGGGGATTGGAGCTATTAGGCAGAATTTGGGCTCAGACTCGTAGCATTCTTCTCATGAGAAGACTGGAACCTCAGGCTCGGGGGATCGGGAAGATTGCTTTGAGATGTGGATAAGCTGAAAATTCCCGGCGTGGCTTCGATGTTCAAACCTTTCGAAGCTTCAGTCTCTCAGTACCGTGGCTGGGTGAAGAGGCTTTGGCAAGCTCAGCAGCTAGTGTACGAGCTGCAAACTGAGACAACAAACCCTGAACCAATTCCACCGAAAAAACAATATCCCGACTCCTTTATGCCAAAGGGTTTGAGACCAAGGCCTGAAACGCTTAGCCCTTTGTGACACCCTCTGACACCCTACTCGATGAGCCCGCTTTTTGCATTGCGCCCCCATGACTGGGTCGTCTATCGGCGCGGTGCTCTTGACAAACGAAGCAGACAGAGGAGAGGCACCTGGGACCCCCTGGTATGAAGACCGTAGTGGGGCATTCGGGTCGAGGTAGCAGTGAAAGTGGCTGAAGCCCTCATGAGGGTGGCGGCCTTGCAATCTGAGGATCACTTTCGAGTCAACCGGTTTCCGGTGGTCCCTCATGTGAACTGCTTCCCTGAAAAGAGGAGCATCTCGCAAGACTGCCTGCGGGGTCCTTGGAGCTCGGGTTTACAGCCTTTGCTGTGTGCCTGTGATTGGGCCACGTCGGGGCCCTTGTCTTGAGACATGCTCATAGAGACAGCTTGCCTTCATCTCGTGAGGCATGCGGCACGCGGCAAGAGCCGCGGCGAAGATTCGGCAAACACCTACACATTATCCAGGAAGCTTGTCGAGCTTTCGCTTCGCAATCGCCCACCTTGTTATCTTGACGTGCAGCTTCCGAAGTGCTTGCTTGAGACATTCACTCTAGATTTCCGACCCATTGCGAGACAACTTCCTGTCAGGCTTAGTCAGGAGTGACCCACGCCACTTCCGAGCCAAGCGCATTGCCCGCATCTCACAAATTAAACGGCCATTGCAACTGCAGCAAATGTTGAAGTTGAGGTCTTGCAGGTTGTTCCAAAGTAGGCTCGCCTGCCCTCGGTTGCAGTTTCAAAGACAGACTAAGTAGATAAAGTTCCATGTTTCTTTGGCACCCGCTGCAGGAGAGATGGCACCGCCGGTAGACACGGCACTCTGGTGCCGCAGATGGCTCTGGTATGTACAAGGACAGAAACCACGGCGTGCCACCCGGAAAACAACTTCCCAGAGCATGAAACCTGAAGTGTGAAAGCTTCAATTGTCGAACCATGTCAAGAACCCCAGGCGAGTCGCACACGGACTCTTTCCGCTTGCTCTTTGGCGTGGGCCGCCCCACGCCGTCAGCGGAACCAGGCAAGATCACGCCTCTGCAAGCAGCCGTCAATGTTGCGGGACACCCTCGAGCAGACCCATGGCCCAAGCCTCTATTGAGTGCTTGTTTGAAGGCTGTCATATACGAGGGATCACCGTTGCTTGGGTTGAAGTGCCGTGCAAGTTAACTTCAACTGGCACAGAACAGACTCCTCGAACAGACCCAAGCCCTAGCAGGAACCCTAAACTCAAATCTTGAAAGCCATCGGACCTGAAAAATGCCTCAAATCCCCAGAGCTTCACACCGCTGCCTCAGCAGGGCCCAGGCGAGCCCGATGGAACCGAGGCCTGTTGGTCTTAGCTCGAAAAACCCGAAAGGTGAATGAAGGTACCACTAGGTGCGGATGTGAAGGCTTGGGTTGCAGGATTTCGGATCGGAGAAAGAAGGGTCAGGCATCAGGGACTTCCGAAAGCTAAGAGTGAGATTCATCCGGAGCACCCACGAAACCAGTCGTAAGATCCGAATCTGCTGGGGAACTGAACCGCTTAGGTGGATTTTCATGACTTCTAGGCCATCGAGGCACCGGGTGCTAGCGAAAAACAGGGGTTCTAGCTAAAGGAAACTAAAGGTGGGGAGTTTAGGGTACATAAGGCTTCTATAAGGCTTCCATAAGGTATATAGACCTTCTATAAGGTTCCTATAATGGTAACTACCCACCTGAAAATGTCCTAGATCTATAGGAGTCCGGATGATGCCTCGAGAAGAAACCATGGCCCCCAAGCTGACGAAGGCAGCAACAAGGACGGGACTTCACCGAGGCTTTCTGTGAAGTTGTGCGGTACGTGCTGTAGGGGCCTTAGCAATAACCAATACTCTTTTTATAAGTGTATAGTAAAAGGGGCCCCAAAACCCTATTCTAATTGTCCAGTTCCATATATTACCCTAAGCCCCTGCAGATCTCGCCCCCGAAACTTCAGCTTCAGAGCCCTGCCCTGCAGCCAGGGGCCTGTCAGAGCGAGCTGTCTGTTCTCGTGCGCCTGAGCACGGCCCGGGCTCGACGCATCCGGCGGACTCTGCAAACCGACTAACTTTGGGCGGTTGCAATATAATATCATATAACATGATGTGATGCACCATATGATACAATATATACAATATAATACTATATGATATTTTAAAGTAGATCATAACATAACAAAATATGTTCATGGCTCAGCTTTGCCGCTTCAGAGTGACGAGCAGGCCGAACCCAGGATGTCTCAAGCAAGCCGCGGGAGTTTTGAAACCCAGGAGCGGTTTGAACCCAAGACACTTGAATCTCAGGAGCAGAGCAGCCGCGAGGCGTCAGGTTCTGGGAGATTCAAACTTTCCGGTTCTTATTTTGCCGGCCGTTTCTGGCCCTGGCAGGGCTAGAACGGCTAGAAGGGGCACCCGGTCCCGTTGAAGCACCCGTCCGCCTCCCTCTCGGCCCTCTCTTCCTCCCGGCGGATGGCCTGCCGAAGCTCCGTGGTCTCCCCCCAGTCTTCGGCACTCCTAAACTCCGAAACCTTCTGGAATTCAAACCCTTCGGATCTTTCAGCCTCGGTTCCAAAGCAAACGAAACATATACCCCAAGCTCCCCGAACCTCAGCACCTTGATGCAAAACCGACTAGGAGATCCAAGCCAGAAGAGGCTCTGCCCCAATGCGACAACCTCGAAAAACAGGATCCGCAATGCGTCAAACTGAAACCTGCATCACTCATCCAGCCCAGGAATGCATGCACATCAGCCCACGCCTCTCGCTTTGCTGTTGGCAAGACATCAGAAGTTTTCTACATGTCCCTTGCTGGGGAAACATTTCGAGTTTCATGTGCCGGGACCGCGGAGGAGGCATGCGGTTCCGCAATTCTGCCTGTGCCCCGGAAGGGAATGCCTTTTCGTGCCGCTACGAGGAAAATGCTGCTTGCGGAAGTGTCACCACGGCTAGAATGCGTGTCCCTGACATGACAAGACCAAAATTAAAATGACGCCTACACAAGAGTATGACATGCAACAGCATAGCATGGGTCAAAGCAGGCCAAAAACACGTGGAGCAGCATCATTCCCAACGACACAGACCTTTAACCCGAAACCCTAAAACCGAAAAGCGTCGACACCTTAGACTTACAAACCTGAATGCTGAAGAATCCTAAACCCGAAAAACTCTAAACCCTGAAACCCTAAATCGCCAAAGACCCCAAGACCCAAAACATCCAATCCCTAAAACCCGAAATCCCGAAAACTGCATGGTCAAAGAAGCCTCGAGCCGGGCTTCCTCAAGGCGCTCCCTGGGCAGTCGCGAATTTCCGGCTTCCGGCGTTAGGTTTTGGGGTTTGAGTCTTGGGTTCAGGTTGAGGGGTTCAGTGATAAGGCT